GTCAGTTCTTCAGAATCCATCCTGAATTTAGACTTTTGGAGCTTCCCCCCAACAACTGGAAATCATTCCCATTTTGTTGGGGATATTCCCAGTCTATAAATAAACCTATATTGATTGCTGCTGACCAGAGACCAGTCTTCCTTTTTACCTGTTGAAAGACTACTTGGCTGTGTTCAGGTTTTGGTGGTTAAAAATAAAGCTGATATTAAACATTAGAATGCAGATATTTGTGTGAACATACATTTTCATATAACTTGGGTAAATACCAATTGTTGCATTGTAGAACATTAAAATAACTGTAAAAAATGCCTGCTACACTGTACTCCAAAGTGATACATTCCCACCAGCATTAAATGAGAGTTCCTGTCGCTATCACTCTTGGAAGAATTTACTATTGCCAAGGTTTTTGTTGTTGTTTTTGTCTGCTTGTGTTTGTAGTTTAGCCATTCTAATAGATGTGCTATAGTATTGCATTGCTGTTTTAATTGGCAATACCTTAATAACAAATTATGTTGAGACTCTTTCATATGCTTATTTGTCCCCATCTATATATATAAAAGCCAGCTGATTGGTTGGTAGCTATGATGTGCACTGACCAGCACAGGGAAGACACTCAACACAGGAGCGGGAATCACAGGCATGGATACATGGAACAGGCTGTTGAATCTCAGAGGGAAAGGGGGGAGAGAGGGATGAGACTAACCAAAGATCTTATATGCATACCAGAGGCCTGGTGCACTGATTCATGCGCCGGTGGGGTCCCTCGGCCTGGCCTGCACCCTCTCGCAATCCAGGACCCCTTGGGGGATGTTGGACTGCCCGTTTCAGCCCAGTCCCCGGAGGCTGGCAGAGGGACCCACCAGTTCACGAATCCAAGCACTGGGCCTCTAGTGGTTAATAAAGTAAGCTTGATTCCAGAATTGTCAGCAAACAAAAGAGAATGAAACCCAAAGGGAAAAATGGGATGGGAGAGAACAGTTCTAGATGATATTTTCTTCTCTAGATTCAGAAAAATCTAGAAACTAGTTCTAGTCCTAGCTTTTCCATGATTTAGTCATCTAATAAATGCCCCCCCCCTTTTTTTGTTTAAACTAGCTTAAGATTTGTCAGTTACAACCCAAAAGTCCCAATACATTTCCTATATTCATTTAGGCTTCAAAAATATAAAAATCATAGTTTTTTTTAACTGCCTTGTTCTTACAAATCTAAGTAATGATCTATCCTAAATGTTCCTTTTCTCCTGCAATTATTTTTCAGTTTTATTGGGGTATAATTGACCAATAGAAATTGTATATATTTAAGGTGTACAACTTGATTTTTTATATACATAATATGGTAAAAGATCACCACAATCAAGCTGATTAATATATCCATCACCTCAGAGCTCCCCCCCTACAATTTTAAATATATACAAGTTAACCTTTAAAGAAGCATAAAGTACATGTATTCTTTTAAGTTATTATATGTAAGTAAAACAAAAATATATAGCTCATATACATGAAAATGACACATCTTCAAGATTTAAAAATGCTACATTATTGTAGATATAAACACTGTAAACTTAGAGTACTCTAAATTTACAAAAAAATGTTTTCTAGTAATAATAAATTAACCTTAGTTTACTGTATCATTTTTACTTTTACATTTTAACTTTTTAATTCTTGTAATAACTTCGCTTAAAACACAAACACATTGTGCAGCTGTACAAAAATATTTTATATTCTTATTCTGGTTTTTCCATTTTTAATTTTTTTATTTTTAACATGTACACATTTTTTATTGAAACTTAAGACACAAGCATATACATTAGCCTAGGCCTAACCAGGGTCAGGATCATCAATATCACTGTCTTCAACCTCCGTATCTTGTCCCCCTGGAAGGTCTTCAGGGGCATATGGATGGGGTTGTATTCTCCTATGATAACAATTCCTTCTTCTGGACTACTTCCTGAATTGCCTGCCTGAGTCTCTTCTTCAGGTCCCGCTCTTTTCAGAAATATGTCCACATGATTTACTTGGTTTATTTCTTTTTTTCTCATAGATTTGCTTGTAAGCAGATAATATACGATAAACATTCCTTTCTATTAATGAAAACCTTTTGGTGTTAGAGTTCAGGTTTTCAAACTTTTTAAGAAGCTTGATGAGGTCTTCAAAAGCTTCTTCTAAATCCTGCACTGGGAATTATTTTCTTGTTCTCCTGCAATTTCCTTTTCTCTTTCCTCTTCTTCATCCATACATTCCTTTTCCAGTTCCAACTACTCTTAATTAGTCAATTCTTCAGGAACCACCTTTAGGAGTTCCTCATTGTCATTCTCATCCACATCCTGGTTAAAGTTGTTTGCCATCTCAACCATAGCCTTGGTGATTTTTGCAACCTCTGAACTAAGATACTAGGCAACAGTAATTTTTCAGCTCCATTATAATATTATGGGACTACCATCATACATGTGGCTCTGTCATTGACCAAAACATCATTATGTGATGCATGACTGTACACAAAAATAATATATAAAACAGTAAGAGTTTCACAAAATAGTACCTCCTCTATGTGAAGTTGCTGGGGTCCACCCCCAGCAGGTCCAGGGGTCCCCAAAGGTGTGGATGGAGTCAGCGAAGAAGGAATGACACAGAGACAGTGTTCAGTTGATCAGCAGCCTAGCCAGGATCTCTAGCCATGTTCTGGTCAGGACCTCCAGCGAAGTGCTGGTTAGTATCTCCAGCCAGGTTCTGTGTCCATGTTTTCTGGCTAGGTTCTCCAGGTTCTCCTGGTTCTCCAGCCAGGTTCTGTCTAGGTTCTCCAACCAAGTTCTGTAGCCAGGTTCTGTCCAGGATCTTTTGCCATGTTCCGTCTCTAGGTGCTGTGTCTAGGTTCTGTGTCTAGGTTCTGTCTCTCTTGGTTCTGTCTTCTAAGTTCTGTCTCTAGGATCTTCATCTAAATTCTGTGTCCTGTTGTCTTGTTACATCTGTATTTATACCAGTTGATTCCAATCCTATCAATCTCTATTCCAAAGGTTAGGGCATTTCTTATCTCCATTCCAGGGAGTAAAGATTATGTAGCTTAAGCATGATTGTTCTAGTTAAAGTGATTAATTACCCGCCTGGCAGTTAAGAGGTTTTAAGACCTCCCTAACTTCAGGGGAAAATCCCTACCTGGGGAAACAACCTTTCTAGGAGAGGTGACCTTGGTTAAAACACAGCGCCAAGAAGGTGAGCAAACATATTAAGAACAATGTGCCATATATGCCAGGTCCCTTGAAACAGCAAGGATGGACTGGCTCCCGGCATGAAGTACTCATATTTTCTACTATGTTTTATAATGTTGATAAATATTTCAAAACCTACCCTTGTGATGTAGTGCAATTTGAGAGGCACACAAAAAACAAATTAAGTTATGACTTTTTCTGCCATGTTTCAATGACCACTCATCTATCTGTTTTCTGCCCCTCAGACAATTGAAATCTTTCATTCACTGTTGACTCTCCTCTCTTTTCCTTTCATTATATTTCTCTTTTACTTCTTTACTATAATTTTAGTAGGATCTAGAAGGGTAAAAACAATAAACACAAAGCCTGAGTCTGATCTTTAACTCAAAGCCCTCTACAACTATTTTTAAAAACCATGAGTTTCCTAACCTTCTTCTGGCTGATTTAAGGTCCCTCTGCTAATTATGATGGCCTTAATTGCTGTATTCTGGGAGTTACCATTACAGCTTCCCAAGGCAATCTAAGGAATTAAAAGGGAAAGGGGAAGAAAAAGGAAAGTGCTGAGAGTGACATAAGAATCTATATAACAATTCCATTTAACTGTAAAACTAAATGTAAAATTGTGGTTAATTGTTCAAAATTAAACATAGTTAAATAAATAAATGGAAATTTCTTTTTGAGGGAAGACTTTAGGAAAGGTGTCTTCCACAAAGAAAATAATCAAAAACCAATTTTCAAATACAGCATGATAAATAATATTTTTATAAGTAATAACGAGTACTTACAAGGCAAGGCTACTCAACACATATTGTACGTGCTCACATTCATCTGGGAATGATGCACTGGCTGATGTAAAACAAGAAAGTGCAGTCTGAAGAACCTGAAGTTGTGGCAAAGGGACTTGCCATCTTCCAGCATAATCTTCAACCACCTGATAGGGAAGCAATCCAAAAAGTATATTATTATATAAAATGTCCTCAACATCTTGTTTAAAATTTGAATAAAACTTAGTAGATAAATTAAAATATTAGTTACACCTGAACACAAATGATGGGGGGAAGGGTTTTTTATTGTTTATTTTTATGGTGAACATCTAAAAATAAAATTAACTATTTTCTTTGAATATTTGGAAAAGAAATATATTATATAAATGACTGTACCGCCGAAACCAGTTTGGCTCAGTGGATAGAGCATCGGCTTGCGGACTGAAAGGTCCCAGATTCGATTCCGGTCAAGGCCATGTACCTGGGTTGCAGGCACATCCCCAGTAGGAGATGTGCAGGAGGCAGCTGATCGATGTTTCTCTCTCATCGATGTTTCTAACTCTCTGTCTCTCTCTTCCTCTCTGTAAAAAATCAATAAAATATATTATTAAAAAAATGACTGTACCATTCAGCTGCCAAATATTTACCAAACTTTGTAGCACATACTCTTCACCTCCTATGTTTAGCTTTTGTCAAAATACTAATTAATATTAAAATAGCTAGATAGCAGAATATAGTATTAAAGTAAAAATAAGTATGTATTATTATCATCTTTACTTATAGGACTGAACTCTAAGCCTTCTGGCAACAATCGAGTATTAAAGATATAGTGGCATGATGCTCTAATTATGAAAGTTAAAACCGTACCATGTTATGGAGAAAAGAGTGCAGAATATAATCAGGCTTGGCTCTGTCATTGGCTAGTTCATTTTTCTTCTCTATGCATTACTTTTCTCACCATAAAATGGAACTAATGATTGTCTTGCATGTTTACTCTTAAGTTGAGATAATTTATGTAAAAACACTTTAGAATGATCAATCACTATAAAATATTGATATATATCATGTAGCTATAAATCTATATAAAATTATTCATATGCAAGACTGCTGCTATATTAAAACAATGTATTATATTTTTAAAATTTATCATATAAAACGGATTGACCAACTATAGTCTGCAAACCAAATTTGTCATGCAACCTGCTTTTTGTATAACCCACAAGCTAAGAATGGATGTTATATTTTTAAATGATAAAAAAATATTTTGTGATGTTTGAAAATCATATGAAATTCAAATTTCAATGTCCATAAAGTTTTATTGAAACATATCCAGGATCATTCATTTATGTATTACCTATGGCTGTTTTCCTGATACAAGAACCAAGTTGAATAGTTGTGACAGAATTGGCTTACAAAGACTAAAATATTTATTATATGCCCCTTTACAGAAAGTTTTCCAACTCTAATTTAAAAGCTGGGAAAACTAGTGCAGGGTAAAAACACCAAGAACACTCACAGCTCAAGGACTTTTCATACTAATCACTTTCTTTGGGGAGACAATTCTATAGTTTTTCAAAAAGAGGTTCTCATAGCCTTTATCTTTTATGTATCAGAAATGACCTTAAAACATAGATGATGTCTCCCTCCAGACCAGTGAGCCTGTTTACTGTCCCTATAATCATGATATCAATTCCCTCTAGAGCAAAGGTCAGACAGATATGCTTCAGACCACTATAAAAGAGAAGGGTTCTCTAAACTTGGAGTCCTCAGCTGTGATGAAAACCTACTCTGAGTGCAGGATCCACCTGAGTCACTCACCATCTTTGTGAGACTAAGGGGCAAGGAGAACCAACATAAACATGAAGCTCATGCTGCTTGCTGAGCAATCTATATATATAAAAGCCTAATATGCAAAGTATCCCCTCAGGAGTTTGACCAACCAGGAGTTTGATCGCTCACTATGACATGTGCTGACCACCAGGGCATGGAATGAACGGAGACCAGAGCCGACAGCCGGCAACCACAAGGGACCCTACCCATACACGAATTTTGTGCAGTGGGCCTCTAATGAGTAATAAAGTCCTTTATCTCTTATCTAGGAGTTTTGTCTTCTGCCAACATCCATGAAAAAGTGGCAGGCTTAGATAAACTCTCAGACCCTTCACAGTTCTTTGACAATTCCAAATTGCAATAGCAGGTAGCTAGCACAGGTCTCCAGTGTTTATAGGTCCATGTTTGGATAAAAAAGAAAGCTAGAAGGTATTACCTCATGACCTAGTATCCCTTCCAACTCTTACAGTTCTTACTAACTGGAAATAAAAACTACTACTAACTATGATGACCCCAAGTTGGGCAGACTTTTCTAAACCACTTTAGGGCAAAAAAGAATATTAGATAAACAGGGGTTCCCTGGCTTTAAATTTTCTCTTCACTAGAGGGTTTGATCAGCTTTATTGTCTCTTTTTTTGCCACAACACCATTTTTGTACGACATAAAAAATATGCAACTGACAGTCTCAGTTTTCCTGTTCTCAGTCCCAAATAGTTTATCCTAATCCATATCTATTTACAACCTTATTCACTTTCCATTTATGGGCTGGGTTTATCTCCTTAGAAGAGAAGCTTTCTACTTTTTCAACTTCTATTCTCATTTTAACTTCCCTCATTCACCAATATTCAGCTACTAATACCCTGCCTGATCTAGCGGAGCCCAAATCTAATACAATAAAAGTCCTTGGGGCAACATCTTCAATATGTTTGCCACAATATCCTTGAAGAGACATAAACAAAATTGGCTAAATTCACATATTTTTTTGCACTGTTTAATGTCATGCCAGGTGCCGCTATTAACATAATACTGTAACACCATTTTTCTTGGATATATTTTTCTTAAATATGTAATACTGTATAGAATGCATTGCCCTTTTACTTTGAATATTTTCTTCTGTGCTATATGTGCTATCATAAGCATTCAACTACAGACACAGACAGTAGGGTGGTGAAGGCCTGGAGTAGGGCAGGAACACTAGTGGAGGGTGGTAATGGGGGAAAAACGGGGACATCTGTAATACTCTCAACAATAAAGATTTTTTTAAAAACAACAGCAAAGAGAAAGATAGTAGCTTTAAAAGTAGAGAAAACCAAACTTAACCAACCATCAAGGTAAATATCGCCAGCAAATAATAAAACGTATTATCATAATTCTCTTGATAGGATACACCAAGAAAGAAACAATAGCATTCTTGTGGTACTTCTACCAAAGATGCATAAATTCATTCCAATCATGAGAAATCATAAGACAAACTCAAATTGAATGATATTCTATAAAAAAAAAAATTGATCAGTACTCTTAAAACGTGTCAAAATCATGAAAACCAAGGAAAAACTGAAGAACTATTACAGACTAGAAGAGACCAAGGAGAAATAACAGCTATATGCAATGTTAGATCATAAATAACCAGGAACAGAAAAAGCATTAGTGAAAAAACTGGTAAATTTCTAATAGGGTCTATAATTTAGTGAATATTACACCAATGTTATTTTCCTGTTCTGACAACTGTACTATTTTCTATTAAATATAAAGTTAGCTCAATTTTTTTAAAGTTATTTTAAAACAAAACTATTTTGTTCGAACCCTTTACCTCAATTTCCAATATTCTCATTTATTTTCTGGAGGCTTTTTTTTTTATAATATAAGCACAATTCTTCACATATTTTCCCTACTTTGTTTCCTGACTACACATCAAGATTTACCCTTGCCTATAGGTATTTTTTAATAGTCACTTAGAAAAATAAAGCAGGTAGGTTGGCAGCACTGTGGAAAGAGTATAGGTTTTGGAATCTAACACCCTTGACTTTGTCACTAAACAGTTGTGTAATATTAGCAGAATTATTCTTCTCAGTCTATAAAATGAATTTAACATCACTTTAATCACAGAACTACTGAAGAACTAAGTAAGATATATATTAAAATCTAGGGTAATTCCTGGCACAATAAGAAACAAGAGCTATTATTATCAGTATACCTTGTTTTAAGAAAATGGCAAGATTAAGCTTACTTCGGTGGCTCTTTCATCACATCAGTCTGAACTGTTTAATTATTTGTCTTCAAGGATGATTAATTACAAATTTTACTTTTGGCAAGCAGACTGGCCACACCCAAATACAATCTATTCCAAAGGTATTGCTGCATTTCAACTGTTAGTTCAATACTCATTGAAAAATGAAGCATATCCTAGATACAGCAATACAAATAAAATGCTTCATGCCTGAACAGATAACTGAGGATTCTTTCTCTGCCTCCCCCCAATTCCCCTCGCCCAGTTTTCCATTGAGAATCAAGATGACAAAGAAAAGTTCTATTCAAAAAAAGAAGAGTCACTTGTCATTTGATTTTTTCTATCAGGATAATCATGTAAAGAAAGTCTAAAATTAAAGTCTTATTTAAAAACCCCAGCAAAATGATTTGGAAGTAGATTCTAGTAAGTTAAAAAGTTGTTTGAAATTTGCAAGGGGTTAATCTTTGGTACAAGCAATCTAAAACCCAGTTCTTTTGGGGGCCCAATAAAGCATACTGTCTGTTTGGCTCACTACTCAAGATAATATTTATATAACATTAAGGTCTTTAAAAGGTTCTGTAAATGTAGTAAGACTAAACATTTAACGAAATGGAAAATGGAGTAACTAAGTATCTCTAAATCTTAATATACCATATAATCTTACTATTAAAAGGAATCTTCATCCTAACCAGTTTGGCTCAGTGGATAGAGCATCTGCCTGTGGACTCAAGGGTCCCAGGTTCAATTTCGGACAAGGGCATGTACCTTGGTTGCGGGCACATACCCAGTAGGGAGTGTGCAGGAGGCAGCTGATCGGTGTTTCTCTCTAATTGATGTTTCTACCTCTCTATCCCTCTCTGTAAAAAATCAATAAAATATATATATTTTTTAAAGAATCTTCATGATGATCTAGTCAAAACTACCAACCATAGAAGGAATATCACTCCCAGAAGGCTCTAATCTCCTTCTTGAGTTCTCTGCGTCCATAGTGTGAGGCAGGCTACGTCTCCCATGGACTACCTGAGTATCTGCTTCAAGTCCCAAATTTTCTCTTAAGTTCATCCAAAGAAAGAAAGTAGGCAGGCTAATTTTTAAAGGCTTTAGATAAAG